TTTACCTTTTATAATTGAATTTATAATTTTTTTGACAAATCAATTTAAGTTAGAGTTCATTTTCTAAAAGAAATATTTTAATTATTTTTTAAAATATTAGTGTTTATAAATATGACCTCTAAAAAATTAAGAGAAAAATATTCTAAAACTACATTGTTTAAATAAAATCAAAACACTTTCATTCATACTTTATAATTATGTTGTTTTTATCTTTTTTCAATGTAAATTTATTAAAACAATTTAATTTTGTAGTGTTTTTCTTCATAATTTCTTAAAAATTCAACTAACAAACACATTTCTTTTTTTATTCATTTTTTAATTAATCATTACATAATTTATTATTATGATATTTCAATTTTTATTATAATTAAAAAAATACATTTATTTTTAATTTTTACTAAAAATATATCAATATAAAACCTACAAACAAATCTTTTTATAAGGGAGAAGATTTTAAAAAAATAATTTAGTGTCATAAATAACTCTTAAAAGCCTCAAATCTTCAACAATAAATTTCATCCCTCTAGTTGAATTTCCTGGCTCCGTCCTTGTCCTCACATCAAGCCATCCCCCATAATTGAAAGGCTGCCTTTGTTGTTAGGCGGGCACGGTTTAGTTTTTATTATAATTAAAATTAAATTATTAATTAATTAAAAATTTTTAATATATAGAACTAATTAGGGCATTTTTACTAATATAAAATTTAAAATTAAATTTTTACCGAATTGAAATAGATAATACAAGAAATACACTGAACAAGAATTTTCACAAAAAACGCGAGAAGAAAAAATTATAATGGTACAGTTTTTTTTTTTTTGTGATATAATATAATGGTACAGTTATGGGTGTGTCAACTTGAAATTAAATTTCAAAATTCTTTCATTTTTTTGATAAATTTTTCTGTATTTCTGGGATATTATTAATAATATGATATCTTAACCAATCAGACAACATCATATCAATTATTTTCACACTTCATCAATCAGTTGATAGGAAATAATTAATGTAAATTTTTTTCATTTTCCTGAGATACCGCGTTGGTGGTATCCCAGAGATACATAGTTTCTTTCAGTTCATATGAGTGATGCACAGCTTGTTAAGGTCATATCAGTACTGCAAGTTGTCGAGAACTTCAATAAGATTTCCTTTTCATTTTAGGCGTCTTCACTGGGGTAGTTGGTAGTATGTCTACATTTTTTAACTTATCTTTATATCAAGCAACCAGTCAAGAGAGCAACCCCTATATTTGACGGACTGCCTAGTTGCTGTTGGTTTGTTAGTTCGGACTCCAAATCACATATCAAATTTATCTATTCCATGATGACCAGTGATGCAAATTGCCCGACTTTGCAACCTTCTTGAAATTTATCCCTGTCTAAATCTGTTGGCTCCCCCTCCCGAGTCCCACCCAAGGCAGCAAGTGGTGAGTTGCTTTCAGACATCCATCACAGTAAGTCCTCCCGAGTCCCACCCAAGGCAGCAAGTGGTACGTTGCTTTCAAGCATCCATCACAGTTGGTGACAATTTAACTTCAACAAGGCAACATGCGGCAC